ACTCGAGGTACCAGCGCTAGAGATCGCCCAATGCACGTTGCATATAGACGATCCCGAGCTCCCGACCCATGGAAGATGAGAGGAGAGCCGTGTCATCGGCGTAAAGAGATACCTTCACATGCTCGGACCTCGGAAGGTCGCTGGTGTAAAGGGAGTAAAGCGTGGGAGAGAGCACGGCCCCCTGTGGCACTCCAGCAAGGATCTCTCTGTTGTCAGACAGAGAGCCCTCTACTCTAACCTGAAATATCCTATCTTCCAGGAAAGAACCAATCCACCGGATCAGGCCCCGAGGCAGGTCGAACGCGAATAATTTGTTTAGAAGGCCTTCATGCCAAACACGGTCGAAGGCCTTCGAAATGTCTAATGAGACGAAGTGAACTTTTTTGTTCCTGTTTAGCTCCGAGATGGTATTTTCGACCAGTCTCAGAGCCTGCAACTCAGTGGAGTTGAATTTGATGCCTTTGCCATCGCTTATAATATACCTGCAGTAAATTCATTATTCAGGATAGATAAATAAAGAATATGTATCACGACATCTTTGGGGAGCAACTGAAGTTGAGTAAACATTGTGCCAGATACCGTACTACTGAAGATATCCAGCCTTTCCTCAGGCTGCCACTACTGACACATTGAGGAAGTAAAGACTGTCAAGGAAGCGCTGGAGGTACTCGTCTCCAAGAACAGATCAGAAGGGCTGATTTCGTCAAAAACTATCGAGCAGGTCGAAGCGTGGAAGCAAGTAATGCTTTGCGAACTTCCCGGTATTGCCATGACGGTTGAACAAAAATCATCAAGGCATTGGAGCTTGACTTGTTTGATTCGACATTTTTATCGTCGAAAGCAGTTTTCAACAGAGGAGCAGTACAGCTATTCGTTGTCATGTACCACGATGGCAAAGATGCCTACAAGGCACACTATGTGACCAATGGCTTCTACGTCGACTACAACTGCTAGTTGAGGTACGACGATTCTTTGGTCCAGACTGAGCAGAAAGAATACGTGCTGAAGTCCCAGGGAACGCGAGTTCCTCATTTGCTGTTTTACATGCGCAGCGATACGATCCGATCTAAGTCAGCGTCTGGGATTGTATCACACTTTCAAAAATGATATTCATTAAATGAATGAGATAGGGTTGAGGCACTGATAGTTGACCAGCACCCCGTAATTGACCAATTTCTCATCATGCACAGAAATAAGAAAACTACAGCGTTCTGATGGTTGCCATTTGTATTAATCATTTAATTGGTACTTTTTCTTGTAGATGTCAACACATAATGTGATTCGCTTATTTGATGAGTAGGCCACTGTCGTGTTATACATGTTTCCTCTTTGCCCTATAGTTAACACGTGATGTGACAATAAGCACGGTGAGTAGACCACTTCAATAATCTTGATACATCCTTTCACGTTGAACGTTTTATTGGAAACATATTTGATGTACTGGTTGCCAGATGAATTGAACTGAACATTCTTACTATATTTACTGTTGAAATGAGTATTTTTTCTATTCAAATTAATGTAGTTGATCACTGGTATGAAATATCTGATAAAGTGCCCGTAACTGACCACTTTGGCCAACTGCCGGTGTTTCAAAGAAATCAAAGTTTTCACATCTCTGTCTGTGTTAAAGATGAGTTTTTATTCGATTGAATCAGATATTTCGAAGCGGATCCAGTAGTTGACCGCAATACAGTAGTGGTCAACTATTGGTTTTTAGCTTTGGTCAATAACTGGAATTTCATTTTGATTTTATTTCTTTTGGAATATAGGTTGGGTAAGACCACTGTATTTTCTAGAATGAAATGGCTGAACCTAAGAAGAGATTTTTCAAATATACAGAAGCACAATTACAACAGGCTTTGAGCGACATTACCAATAATGTATGCAAAATTCGGCAAGCAGAGAGACTGTATGGGGTTCTGCATGCCACTTTGATCAATACGCTGAAGGGGAGGTCTTCCTCAACAAGACAAATGGGTTCTTCAACCATACTTACTAAAGATGAGGAAGAAGTTCTGGTGAGGTTGCTGCTGGCGAGTGCTAAAATCGGATTTCTCATCAACAAAACTGCTCTTTGCGGAACTGTAAGGGATATCATCAAAGACGATGAACGTATACATAAATTTCGTAAAAAAATGATTTTTGGCATTTATGAAACGTCACCTTGAGGTTTGTCAGAGACATGCTGAATCAATAAATGGAGCACGAGCTTGTGAAACGGAAAAGTCGATTCGAGAGTGGCATGAGTCCATTAGAACCTATTTGAAAGAAGAAAATGCCGAGGATATTTTAAATGATCCCACAAGAATTATAAACTCCGATGAATAACCAGTGAAACATTCTTCAGTTACGTGTGTAATACATTGTTACCTTTCTTACATCACGAAGGTATAAAGTTACCTATATTATATATATTAGATGGAGATAAATCCCATCCAACCTATAATTTGAGTAAGTTTTGCTCTGAAAATGGAATTTTTCTCTACGCACTTCTTCCAAATGCGACGCATATTTCACAGCCGGCAGATGTATCCTTATTTGCTCCGTTGAAAAGTAAATGGAAAAAAGTCGTTGCTGATTGGAAAAAAGCTAATAATAATAAAATTGTTGATAAAGCAACTTTTTCTCTATTATTAGAAACAACGGTACAGCAGATAGGAGCAGATACTGTTAAAAATGGATTCACAAGGTGCGGTCTGTATCCTTTTGAAGTCGAGGCAGTAGATTCAAAAAAATGTATGCATGACATTTCGAGAACTGTGGGAGATCATGAAGGTATAGAGAAAATTAAGCCGACCAACTTTGATGTACCAGATTTTCTATATTTCGAATCACTCATTTCAACAAAAAGACAGGAAGAATTTAAAAAAGCAAAAATGGGGGAATGGTTTGGCGATGAGTCAGCTAAAGAATTATATGCTGTTTGAAGAAAACATAAAAAAAGGTGCCAAGGAAAACACAATGAAGAAAACAATAATGATATAGAGTTAGAAAATGCAACCAATGAAACTGTCGAAGAGGTTATTGAGGCTGAAAGTAAAATACAAGAAAATAACGATATAAATGAAGATCAAAAATTCAATGCTGACACTGAAGTGAAGGAATGAAAGAAAATGGAAGTGATCAAGAACCAATTATGTGTGAAGTTTCGATTGAAAATGCACCAGACAAAGAAAAACAAGTAATCATTTTAAGTGATATACTTATAAAGAAACCTGTTACTCCACTTCCGCTACCACAGTCACAAAAAAGAAAAGTTGATCATATTTTTTGGCCAGAGGAGTCACCTGAGAAGAAAGAATCCACAAGAAAAGAAAGACTGCCTTATGCAACAACTTCATTGAAGTAGTTGCAGTACCATGAAGAGAAAGAAAATACCAAGATGGAGGATCCTCTCAAAAGAAAGGAAATAAAGAAAATAAAAAAAGTCAATAAAGCCATAGATAGCTCGGAAAGTGAATTTAAGGAATGGCAGAAGAGTTGATTAAGTCTAGATGATATCACAGAACATTTCAGCAGTGACGGTGAAGATGAACCACTAGCCTTCATAGTGAAGAAAGTGAAGAAAGATATTGCAGTAGGTGACTTTTATCTGGTTGCTTTTCCAGGAAAGAAAACCTACCATAACTATGTTTGCTCCGTTCAAAATATTTATGACACAGGTGAAGTTGAAGTACATGCTTTCACACCGATAGAAGAAAGCAAGAATGTTTTCAAAATCATTGAAAACGATATAAGTGTTGTGAATGTAGAGCAACTTGTGAAGAGATAAGAATACCCAAGTGTTGCTACAACCGAAAATCAAATAAAATATAAATTTCTCAAAGATGTCATTTGAACATCTTTTGAATTTTATGTTAAAAATTTTATTTGAGTGTTTGTTCAAACCAAATGTGTCTTTCTCCATGAAAATAATTCAATAATTCAATATAACAACGTGTTTCATTTCATTTCATCAAGTGGTTAACCACTGGGTCTAATCGCGGTCAAATACTGGCTCTAGCTGGTCAATTACTGGTTCTAGCTGGTCAATTACTGGTTCTAGCTGGTCAATTACTGGTGATTTATGACTTTTGTTATTCTCTTTTTTTTTTGTACCAAAATCTCACGTTTTCTAGAATGAAGTATATCATATTTACAAGCCTGAAACTTGGTCCTTCTTGTATGTATTTTTAATTTCTATGAAAAGTTGACGGTTTGATAACTATAACCTATTTTATGAGAGAAAGCTCTTAACCGGTCAGTTACTGGTGCACTCACACTATAAATCGGCTGGTTTTGGTACCCCTCAAGCTCTTCCTTCAATTTAGAACAAAACTCTCGATGAATATTCATATACATGTCTGAAATTTGAATTGAAGGGGTTATATTTTCAGGAGTGATTGATTTTTGGGAAAGAAATAGACACAAACTGAAAGAGATTCCTCCTGAAACAGCTACTTTCATATGAACATTGAATTACATGAAAGTAAAAATTCTTTCACAACAAATACTTCTATATGAACACTGAATTATACAGAAGATACTTTTCTCTACTCAGTTTGTATTTCAAACATTCGTTGTGGAATAAAAATCAGATATCATCCACGTGAGTTCTACTTCAAATGAATAGTAACAAATTGCACTTACATAGAACACAGTCATCCTCACTGGTATACACCGATGTTTCGCCTTAAGACACTTGCCACAAGGCTCTTCAGTACTAAATTGGATAACATTATAGAAAATACACAAAGTTCATTCATTCATTCGAAAGAATTTTTTCTTTTGTGTAATTCAATGTTTATATGAAAGTAGCTGTTTCAGGAGGACTTTCTTTCAGTTTGTGTCTGAAAGTTACTTCTTTGCATGATCTACACATCCATGTATAGTTACTTATTTTCAAATTGATTACTTCCTTCCTTTCTTTGGAAGATTCCCTCATCCTTTTTTTTGTATCAAGATGGAGTAGTAGAAAGCCAAAAACTTTCTTTCCCAAAAATGTCTAAAATAGTCGAATCAACAGTCTAATTTTTTATTATCATTTATTATGACGAAAGCAAAAAACATGCTCGAGGTATATTTATATGGAAAACACATGTGACTAAGATCTTTTATTGTAGAGGGATATCAGAAAATATGTATTTTTGTATTTATATCCTACTTATGATTCTATCGGCAGTTTTTTGAATACTTGAATATTTATGTACAAGCATATCAGCTTATTTATGAAAGCAATTTATGAAGGTATGCAAAAATGTTGGATATAAACGCCTAGAAAATATCAATTCATATGAAACTCCGCTTGGTCCCTCACTGTTGTCTGGTTTATGATTGAGAATGATCTTCTCATATGCCTTCTGGAAAACTAGTCAATCAGTAATTCAAAATGTACTGAACCCGTTCTTTCCACTCTTGAATAATGGATATTCTTTGCCCATGCTCTGCATTCCACGTTAATCACAATTCCAGCTGAAAATTCAAAATGATAATTAGAAAAAGACAGTGTTTCCTTTCATTGAAATTTATTGGTGATTCACAACAATGTACCATCCCTCATCGTTTTTGTATGAAATTTTGAATACTCTTTCATTTTTCAATAAAATCATAAAAAAAATGTTTGTTTATGGTTTCAAAAAATCTGTTCGAATATTCTCAAATATTTATCTGACATCACTGTATTCCACGTATTGAATGAATGCGTCTTGAATAGGAAAACTCAAGCTTATAAACTCTAGATTTTGCCATCTTGTCCACATTGTCTTTGGCATTAAAAAGGAAATTAGATAACCTGAATGCCACTACCCCCCCTTTTTTTTAATTCCGCAATTGACTCTTTTCTTTTACAAAAAGATGTTAAAGTTAAAAATTTCTTGATTTCTGATTGTTTGATCTGTGAGTATATTAATGAGTGGGTAATGAGCCCAAAAAATCGACTATTTCAGTTGTATTGCCAATCGCATATGCAGCAAATTTTCTGTGAAGATTCCTGTACTGACGCCTGTCGAATACAGGCTGATTCACGGTGGATGGCACATTAGACGTTTCTGGTGAACCAGACAACGGATCACTTTGAAAATTTATATCTCTGTAGTTGTTCGTAAAATAATTTTTTGCTGCGAACTGGTTTATTTTGGGCAAAAAACCCAAGACACATTTTTTGTTTAGAATGAAACAGGCTATCGGAAATAAATTTTTAAATGGTAAACAAAGAATAAGACAAAAAGTTACATTGGAAATAAATTTTAGGGGTTGCGTTTTCCACCCCTTACAAGGTAAACCAAATAAATTACTGGCTAAGTGTCTTTTTGGTAGTACAAAACGTCAGGTCAATTTCAATATTGTAACTTCTTCAGTGCTTGTGAAAAAAATTGTTATAGAAATTTTATGTACCCCCTTTAAGGGGCTGTATCTTAACAAGGGATGCTCCAATAAAGTTTATTTATATGAAAGATCCTATCTTTTTTCGATGAGGAATCACCTCCTTGAATGTTTTACACTTTTTCAGTTACACCCTGTATATTATATTCAGAGCTCCAAAAAAAGTAGATTGCATTGATAAGTACATTGATAAGTAACTTTGTTGAAAATACCCGAAACAAGAAGCAAGTACAACCATCTTGTCTTGTATCGGGTATATTATCAAGTTCAGACATGGCAAGGAAATCAACTTAACCCTGAAGACTGGGGTTGGAAATTAATAAATAATACTCTGGAACCAATCAAAACTCTGTTCCCCCCTGCTCCTGAGAAACTCCTTAACATAATTTTTTGCAATTGCAAGAAAGGTTGTGGTGTCAAATGCAGCTGTAGAAAAGTAGGGTTATAGTGTTCACCTGCACGTACCAATTGCCAAGGTCACTCTTGTTCAAATGTTGAGTTGAGTACAACAGGGGATGATTCATGTGATGCTGATGAAAAGACAACTGATACATCATTATTTGAACAATTAATGAACATCCGGTAAGAAGAGGATGAGGAAGAAAACGAAGAAGAAATCGCAGACGACATGATTATTGAAATTAACTTTGACGAGTATGAATCAGATTGAAGTATCAAAAGAAATCACTGCTCTATGCTTGCTTTGTTCAGCTCCAAGTTCACATATTTCACTTCGCTGTTTCGGGGCCAATATTTATATTGTTGGACAGGTATATGTATTGTGGTAGGTGTCTGGTCTGCTGGACCGGGTAGGTACCTGAGTTATTCTCAGGTATCTTGCGTGACAACAATGACATTCATGCTCTGCGAATCATCTTGCTTGTTAAGGCAATTGGGACATTTTTCAATTTCGGTTGCTTCACGAATTATCCTGGCCTGAAGATTTTTATCCGTAGCAATGGTCTTGGTGTTTTAGAAACTCATTGTGTGGTATATTTCCTGGTGGTGTTTATAGGCTCTGTTGGAAATTCTTCTATTGGTCTGGCCGATGTAAGTTCTGTGACAGAACATGGTATTTCGTATATGCCCTGTGCTTCTTTGCGTATCGTGTCCTTGGGTGTTCTTAACAGAGTGGAGATTTGATTGTTAGTGAATACTATCTTAACGTTATGTTTCTTCATAATTTGGCTCACTTTTCCGGTAACTCCATGGATGTAGGGGAGAAAAGCTTTTGTCTGGTTAGTCTGTTCCTCGAGTAACTCGTGGGGTTTAGTTTGTGTTTGTTGTTGGATGGATCTTCGTATTTGGGAGACGGGATAGTCGTTTTGGTGTCCAACAATATAAATATTGGCCCCAAACAACGAAGTGACCAGTGACCAGTATAAATAGCTAAGTACTATTATGACTACTCACATATTGATTTCAATGTAAGAGCCACCGGTAAACAGCTGTTTCAGCCTATTGGGCATCGTCAGTACCGGGCAGGGGGTCCTCGATTGAAGACAAAAAAAGTACTCGATAAAAATAACTGCAAACGCAAGAGAGACATAAGTGATGAATACGAGTAGAAAGCGATTCTCATTTTGGGGTCTCCGGCCGCATCTGCAATCTCTTTTTATTAGAGAGAATAGCAGTCAGTCCGTTCAACCTACTTCTGTAGGTATATTCGAGGCTGGCTTGTACGTTTAAAAAGTTCATTTCTTTAGATTTGTTTACTGCCAGTCTTCAACCATTGACTAATAAGAAAATTGATAATAAGTTGAAGTTTGAGGACTACATACTATCACTTAACAAAAAACATTCATCTGGATGTTATGCTATGAAAATAACTTCTAACGAACTAGGACTAACCGCAGCTAAAACTATATATTATTCATTAGTAGATTCACATCTAAGATATGGGATCCCTTTCTGGGGGGGTAATTAATGAAACCTCGTCTCGAGTCGATTTTTATTCCGCAGAAAAGGTCATTTAGGTTACTCTGTAGAGCCAGGCGGCGAGATCCTTGTAGGCCTTTGTTTGTAGCAAACAAAATATTATCACTGTATGCTCGATTCATTTTAGAAACAGTTCGTTTATAGTCCGGTCATTATACAATATTAAATTAACGAAAATTGCGACAGAGCTAAATTTTGGTGAATATCTTCATTTTACCATAGAAAATGAAAATTTGAAAGTCTGAATCTGTCCCATGAGCGCTTCAAAAGTTGTCCGGGGTGAAAGGTGAAAATTTCAGATTTTTTGAGTCTTTCTCGAAAACCGTGAGTTTCATCAAATAAAAAAAAACTCAGACCAAAGTTGTAGATATCAAAATTCTCTACAAACATGGTCCTTATGATTTTTCTGTAAGTATCACCGTTCCTGAGATATCGCGATTGTAAAAGTCACGTTCTATGTAATATATGGACACATTAGCCACGTATATACACATTCGGTAACTGTGTCACATAGAATATTTGCTCGACTTCATCAACGATTACGAGAATATGGTTCATTCGACAAAAGAACGCAGGATTGTGGTCGCCATCGAGAAGTACGAACACCACATCTTGAGGAAGCAGTACTTAATTTGATTGAAGAACAACCTACTACCAGTACTAAACAGATTGCTTTCCAGCTGAATGTTGATCATATGACGGTATTTCGAATTTTGAAGGAACAACTTTTATACCTTCACCATCTGCAACGAGTACAGGCACTGTTACCGCGAGACTTTCCGAACCGTCTTGAATTTTGCAATTGGATGTTAGAAATGATTAGAAGAAATTGTGACTTTCTGAAGACGATAGAATTCACAGACGAATGTAGTTTTTCTCGGGACAAGCTTATTGATTTTCATAATTACCACATATGGGCTGATGCAAACTCTCACGATATTGTCGAAACTAACCATCAAGAACAGTTTTCTCTTAACGTGTGGCTCGGAGTTATTGGGGATGATTCAATTCGGCCTCATTTTCTACCTCCTCGATTAAATAGTGAGGCATACGTTCAATTTTTAAGAGAAGTACATCCAGTACTGCCGGAGGAAGTTCCTTTGGGCGTCAGAAGGGATATGTTTTTCATGCATGATGGGGCTCTCGCCCATTTTAGTCAAGTAGCACGTCAACATTTAAATGAAGCATATGCAAATCAGTGGATAGGTCGAGGAGGACCAAAGAACTGGCCCACTCGATCCCCGGATCTCAATCCTCTCGATTTCTCTATTTGGGGCCATTTACAGCATTTGGTTTATCGTACTCCTTTTCGCGATATAGAGGACTTAAGAAACCGCATCATCGATGCGTGCAGTTATCCATTCCTGAGGTCTTTTTGTTTCTCATTCCTCTAATGGTATTCATGACTTCGTAACTATTCGTAGGAAGTAATTCAAAACATTCCCTGATATCCACCTCATGAAGATATGTTAAGGGATCATGTGTACTCCTTATTTTGCTCGTCAGAGATTCGGCGATAGAACATTCAAGGTTCTAGCTTCTCGATTATATCATAAGTAATGTCTCCGTAGGGGGGGATGTTACTGTCTTTTTTAGAATGCAAGTTGTTGTTATGAGATGTAAATTGGATAATTTCCTAACTGAATGAAGTTTATATAGCTAGAGCAAGTGGACATTAATAGTAGTATAATGAAAACGGCGTTTACAGAAAGTTCTAATGATGAAAGGGCTGATATTGTTTTACTTCATTTTTACATTTAGAAATCGATATCAAACTGAAACTCACAAACTGGTCTCTCGAATTTTACAGCTACCAAAGGACTCAAGTATCCTTCAGAGTTCATATAAGGGAAATAATATCCTGGGAAACCTTGGATACCTTTCGGGTAGTAACTTATCGGTCCCAAATACTCAACATCAGCTGGATTTTCACCATCACATGATAACCAAACATTCTGCATCTGGAAAAAAAAATCGAATGACAAAAACTTATTTTGTAATGACAGCATGTTCAACTATCATTTTGAAAATATATACATTTTTATAACTCGATGGAAAGAGACCTATATCAACATTATTTTCTCATTACCACGATATGTTAAAACACCGTTGAATAGAAAATGAAATCCACACAATACATGTCTACATTTTCGATACATTTTTGAATTACCGACCAAAACAGTTAGTTTTCCATATATACAGTGTCGCCATTAAAGTGCGCACCATATGGGAAACATTTTTTTCGAAAAGTTTCAATGAAGTTTAACTTCGGCACTTGTTTGTGCTTTAAACTTGACTTAAAATGATGCGGCCAACTGCGACTCACTGACGTTCAGTGTTTGTCAAATTCAACTTTTTTTAAAAAAAAAATTGAAAAAGGACATTTCTAGATCGAATTTAACAGAAAGTTACTTGAAAAAGTTATGTCTACGGCAATGAAGTTAACGTTTTGCTTATTTTTGACAGATATCCCCTTTATTTTAAAAAACAAGTTCGGTTAATTGTCATCAATTCATGTATACATAACAAACTCATCATGGAGTTCAACATTTCTGATACATTTTTACTTATACGGACATTTCTAGAGAGAAAATAAAAATTTGCTATAAAAATTTTAACATGACTGGTGCAAAGTTTCAATTACTTGGCTATTTTCTTGAACAAACCTTTGATTTCGAAAAAGCAGAGGCAACTAAAAAAAATGCAAATAATTTCGATAGAACTATTATTATTAT